GGGTGTGAGCGTTTGCTGCCGGGGTGCTGCCACCTCTCTGGGCACCTGGGGGCCTCGAGTGTGAAGTGGGAAGAGCAGGTGGTCTGACAGGCCATAGATCAGCTTGGTGCCTCCAAGGGCGGACCCAGCTCCTCAGATGGCCACCAGACCTGAAGGCACTCCATAAAACGAGCTGTTTCCAGACGGGTCGGGCCAGTTCCCTCTGGTGGCGTGGGTGCTTCCTGCCCAAGTGTTGTAGGATCCCAACCTGACTACAGAGTGAATTAGGTGCCCACAGTCGGTGAGGCGGGGCCAGTGGCCAAGGCCACTGCTTTCTCTTTGGGGGCAGCACCCTGCAGGCTTGGGCACTTCTACTGTCTGTGGGTGCTCATGCTGAAGCAGCAGTCCCACGGCGGGAGCTGGCAAATGCACGCCTCCTGACCCCATCCCTTGGGCCTTTCACCATCCAGCTGAGTATTTCCCAGAGGCATGGAGCTGTTGTTCAGGGTTTGTTGGGGTATAGTTTATGCCCGTGTCCTCTCATTGTGTTGTAAACAGAGCCCCCCACGAGTCCCTCCCCCCCCCCCAGTGTCTCCATCTTTCTCCGGGCTTGACACTTGGGTGTCTTTAGTAGAATACAAGCAGAGCAGAGTTCAGGTGCAGGCTGAGTTTTCAGATTTCTCACAGCCCCCACGGCTCCAGGCCCCTGATATTGGGAACCCCCCAAGCCAAGGGCACACTGCCCTCCTCTGTCTGTGGGTCCGGAAGGCGGGGTGGGGGCATCTGCTAGCCTGCCTGTGCAGAGACTCCTGTCATCCTCACCACCACTCTAAGTTAAGTTCCTTCTGATGTATCCATTTGAGATGAGGAGTCTGAAGTTCAGGGAAGTTAAGCTGTTTACCAGCGGCAGAGCTGGCTTGCAAATGTGGGGCTGCCTCCCTCGAAGGCTGGCTTCTTTCCAGTTTACCAGCGTGGGGGGGATTCAAGAGATAACAGCCGTGGCTGAACCTGGCTTTATCATAAGAGTTTCAGCAGCTTCATGAAGTAGCACCAACTACATTTAAATGAACAGGAGCCTGCCTTTGTGGTCTTGCTGCGTTTCTTCTCTGATAGGAGATTTAAGAAGCTCAGTGCTCGTGAAAAGCTCTTATTCCTTTGGGGGGAAGTTACGCCAAGAGAGCGTGCACAGGAAGGCAGTGCTTAACTCAGTGCCAGTTGTGTGACTTTGGGTATCATCGAGGGAGGCGGCTTGGGTCCGGGCCCTTCCTGACCCTCACCCAGGTGACTACCTGGTCTGCCTTTGCCTAAGACCCCCCTGAATACTTTTCTCCTATGAAAAATAAACCAAAAAGCCTGAAAAGCAGAATTTAAAGCACAGTGGGTAAGAGAGGTTTCAGGAAGGGTAGTGGGGCAGAGCCCTGGGTCCTGAACCCTTAAGAATGGAGGTAGGTGTACAGTCTAGAGCTGAGTAAATAAGGGGTGGGGGGAGAGCTGTGGCCAATGTCTTCCTGCGCCAGGGCAGCCCCTGCTTACAGGAGTGATCTGGGCTTGACCCCCTGGTGTTCCCTTCAGTGCTGCCCAGAGCCCACATTCCCCAGGCCTCTGACCCTCCCTTGCACCCAGCCCCTGGGGTGTGTCTGCCTGTGAGAGTGGGCCAGGTGCGTGGTGCTGCTGCAGCCTGAGGGCAAAAGCCAAGTCCTCCCTCCCTTTCTGCTCCTGTGTGGGGAGGACTCCTAGCCCTGGGCAGACGTGGGATGCGGGATATCGACGCTTCAGCTGGGCCTGCTCTCCCCCTCAATTTCGTGACCCACAGTGCCTGGGCCTGTGACGGCCTGTTTGCTGTGTTTAGAGTACACTTGTGATTTTGGATTCAGCCTGTGGTTTGCTGGGTCTCTGGCGTGGAGGACACCGGCCGGCCACCGTCCTTAATGGCAGCTGGCTGTTTGCTCATCGGAGCTGGGGACAGTCAGACTGGTTTTCTTCAGTGCGAGCTAACTTGACACAGTCTAGGTGAGCAGTGATATGCCCTGGGGAGTCCCTCCTAGGAACCTCCCGAGGGGACCGGACTACCTATGCCTGGGAGGGCAGGGCTTCCCCGAGAAAAGGGTGGTGCTGAGAGAACCCACGCACCCTTGTCTCTCGGCAGTGGTAGGACGTTCCTGGTTGGGCTAGTGTGTGGGCACAGGACAGCAGGAGGATTGGCCGAGCTGGAATGGGCACCATGCCTCCTGCTTTCCCAGGGTTTCCCCCCGCCGCCCCCCATTGAGCTGGGCCACCCCTGCAGGTTAGAGGGGTCTGGCAGTCTGGGAGCTCCCTGCACCCAGCCCCACCCCAGGGAAAAGCTGCATCTGAAGGTCTCACAAGTCTAGCTTCAAAGCATGACTCATACTCGCTCTGCTCAGATGGGAGTACCGCGAGGCAGGCGGCAGAGACCCCAGCCTCTCCTCGGGACGGTGAGTGACATTGCTGCCTTAGGCACCACATGAAAGGAGTTCTCTTGCTGGTGACAAGGGGTTCGGTGGATTCAGGAGAAGCTAGCAGGAAGCTCTTGGGCTTGATTTGGAAATGTGATGTGCACCCTGTGATTTACAGGCTTCCTGGGATCCAGGGACAGTGGGTGTCCCTGAGGGACTAGAGAGCTGAATCGGAGGTAAAAGAGGAAGACACTATAGGGAACACGTCCCCAAGTTCAGGGGACAGGCTCCCCTCCCAGCCTCTCCCTGCTGGGACATTTTGCATGTGGAGAGGAGTCGTCTGAGGGGGTGGGGCCAGTATCCCAGAGTCCACCCTTGCAGCTGGTCCACCAGCAAACTGGGCGCGTGTGGGGGCAACTACGGGACAGGCCAGTCAGCCCTCCACTCAGAGCGCTTTTGCTTGCCAGGCTTGCAAGCACCTCCCCGAGCTCACTCTCTTTCCCATCTGGCCCTTCCTTGCTCTGTACTTGGTGTCCATGTCCTTAAAGGCCACAAGCCCAGGTGACCTCAGCCTTGGCCCCCAGCCATTCCCAGGCCTGACTTCTCTGGTAACTTGGGGCCTGTTGAGGGGCTTCGGCTCTTGCTCAGCTGTGCGGTCTGTGGTCTGTTCATGGATCTTCTGTCTCCAGGCCCTTTGGGGGTAGGGAAGGGCTGGGCCTAGGCTTTCCTAGGAAATACAGATGTGCTTCTTGTTGGGGCCCCTCCTCCAGCACAGGGGTGCCCCACATTTGAGAAAAGGGCCTGTGGATTGTAAAGGATGCTTTTTCAGAGTGCAAGGAGGCATTGCTAATAAGCCTGCTGAGCAAACAGGAATGGGGGGCCACTCTGCATGGGGGAGCGGGGGGGCAGTGTTAGGGACCCTAGCAGACACCTGGGATTTTTTAGGAGCTCTCCTCTATCTGTGCTTCAGGGAGGAATGGGTTTGCCTCCTGTGCCTCTGTCTTGCCCCAGCCTGGTCTCTGGGCAGTGGCAGGGCCCAGCACATGGCCAGAGCTATGCCTGGCACGGTGCCTCCCTTTTCCAGTTTTCCGAGTCCTTTCTGAGCCTGACACCCACGATGCTCTCAGCCTGGTTTTCCAAACTCTTTCTCAACTAGTACAGTGTGTGTGGGGAGAGAAGGTACCCAGTGACCCCAGCCACTGGCCCATGGCCACAGGAGCTAGCTGGGAAGGGCTCAGGAATCCCTGGGAGCCTTCAGGCTTGGGGCTTTCAGGGTTAAATCCTGGCCCAGCAGGGACTGCTCCCAGCCTCTCTGGGAGAGGGAGTATGAATAACAACAGCAGTGGAGAAATCAGGCTGGAAAGCCTGGGCCTGCTGGGTGGGGAGGGGGCTGCAGGGTGCCTGGGAGGGCAGAGCCTTGTCTGGCACCTTGTTTGGCAGCACCTTGCATTGGACTGGGGAGTAGGTAGGGAGTGAACAGCTCAGTCTTCTCAGACCACTGACACTGACGCCTCCTCCCCCCGACCCCTGCCAGTTCTTCATTGCCTTGGCCATGCCAGCTTCCAGGATACAGCCCAGCTCTGGCCTCTCATTCAGGACGGGGCCCAGGCTGCCCCAGGTGTGTTGGGGGCAGGGAGAGTATTTGCTGAGCAGAGTTAGGGGATGCTGCCTGGTCGTGGGCATTTTCTGTCCAGGGGTTTGGGCTTCCTGCCATGCCCCACCCCCCAGGCCTCTTCTCTGCCTGGCATCTTGCCTATTGGGAGGGAGACCTGAGAAACAGGGCAGGGCTAGCAAGGCAGCCCAGGTTTGGTTTGTCGGTTTGTCTCCAGTTAGTTCTTGTCTTTGATGCTTTATTTCTCTAACTCTTAGAGGCTGTTGCGTGGGGTTCCGACCCAGGAATGCTGGCTCCTGGGCCTGGCTGAGACCTCCCCTGACCCTGGACTCCTCACAGCCAGGCCTTCCCCTTCAGGGGGCTTTTCCAGCAAGACCCAGGTTATGGCTGTCCTGCTCTACGTGCCAGGCAGGGTGTCCCCACAGGCTGGACTTGTTTTTCTCCACAGCCCAGTAGGCGGGTTCCTCACCTTAGCTCCTCACTGTCTCTGTCCTTATCTTCCTGTGGCCAATCTCAGAAGCCCCAAGATGGGGGAAGGGTTGCTAATGTTATTGAAGGAGCAGATGGGCTCCCACCACCCCAGCCCTGTCCTGGCTTGGTGTCTTCAGAGCCTCTTCCTGACCTGTGATAAGTATCTAGCGGGAGAAGGACAGGTAAAGAACTGAGAACTTTGCCCCCAGCGCCTTCTGTCTTCTGACTCCAGGGTCTGCATCCTTCCATAGGCTGTTGAAGGGCTTAGTTCAAAGAAGGACCCTAGGCTAAAAGAAGAGTGGGGCAGCCAGTCCTTGCACAGCTGTTGGTATCTTGACCCCACTGGACCTTTGCACTCTGGAAAAGGGGTCTTGGGAAAATCCAGGCTGTAGATAGGGTGAGGGTAGGCCAGAGTTACCGAAGGGGGAGGGCATTGACACTGGACGGGCTACAGCAGAGGAGAAAGCAGGCCAGGCAGGTCACGGTGGGCTTCTCCCTTCTGCCCTGCAGATTGGAAGTACCCCATGACACACACACGGAGGAAGTCCCTTCCCATGCTGAGTTCGGGCCCCTCTGGCCGCCAGGAGCCCCTGCAGATGGAAGGCAGCAGTACGGAGCCGGGGGCAGAGAGTGTGGAAGCAGGCATGCCCGAGAGCCCGGGGCACCTCAGTGGGCGCCGCAAGAACTACCCACTGCGTAAGCGCCCGTTGGTCCCCGAGAAGCCCAAGGCCTGCAAAGTGCTGCTGACCCGCCTGGAGAATGTGGCTGGTCCACGGAGTGCAGATGAGGCTGATGAGCTGCCCCCTGACCTGCCCAAGCCCCCGAGCCCAGCCCCATCCAGTGAGGACCCTGGCCTTGCCCAGCCCCGCAAGAGGCGCCTGGCCTCCCTCAATGCAGAGGCCCTCAATAACCTGCTGCTAGAGCGGGAGGATGCCAGCAGCCTGGTGGGCACCCGTCGCAGCCGAGGGGGCGACTCTCACCGCAGCCGGGACCGGGCCGCGGGGGGCTGGTCCTCCTCCAAGAAACGGCCCCGGCTCGAGGACCTTGGAGGAGGAAGTCGGGACCTGTCCCCAGAGCCAGCACCAGATGAGGGTGCCCGTCGAGATGGTGACCCAGCGCCCAAGAGACTGGCCAGCCTGAATGCAGCTGCCTTCCTGAAGCTGAGCCAGGAGCGGGAGCTACCCTTGAGGCCACCTCGTGCCCACCCAGAAGCAGATGGGCGCTCCACAGAGCCACCGGCGCTGAGGGCTCCGAGGCCAAAGTGGGCTAATAAGGTCAATGGCAAGAACTATCCCAAGGCCCAGCAGGGCCCTGGCTCTGGGGAGGCTGTGGGCCCACTCGGCTGGCAGAGGCACCCCGAGGAGCCATGGCCATCTGCCACCCCTCGGGGGCCAGCCAGCCAGCCACCTTACCAGCCCCTGAGCAAGGCTCTGGAGAGTCCCTTGGGGCTACGCCCCCACCTGCCTCTGCTGATGGGCGGGCAGGCAGCCTTGAAGCCGGAGCCTGGGCGCCCAGGCGAAGAGTCACCCGCCCCCAAGCAGGAACTGCACCAGCCTTCTTTCCCCACACCCCAGCTGTCCCCCCTGCCGATGCCTGGCAACCCTGCCCACTACAGTGGCCTGTGCGGTCGACCTGAGCTCACTGCAGTAGGCAGCTTCTACCTTTACTGCAGCCAAGACGGGCTGCAGTGTGGAGGCTACGCCCCCTCCCCCATGCTTCCCGAGGGCAAGTTGTCCCCAGTGGCTGCACCTAACGAGGGGCTCCTCTTGGCACCGAGCTCAGTGCCCACAGGCACCCCTTTCCAGCACCCTCCCTGGGGCTCTCGCTACTGCTCTAGCGAGGACACTGGAGTGAATGGCTACAGCATCTGTGAAATGTTGCCCCCATCTCTTACCCACATCGGCACTACCTGCGGCGGCTGCCCCTACAAAATGCCTTTTGCAGCAGGTAAGCCTTCCTAGGTGCGGGATGTCCAGTCGCAGCAGGCTGGGCCATGGATCGGCGTGGGGCTCCTTGAGGTCTAGCTACTACGTGGGAGGTCGGGGGCTTTGGGAAGGGAGGCCTCCCCTAGTTTCACGCCCCAAACCGTGGAGTAGTCTTAGAAAAGGGGCTCGTGTCTAGCTCTTAGGTCTGTTCTATCCCCGCTATCTATGGGGATTTCTTGGCGTGGCAGGTAGCATTGTGGTAGTGGAGGGGGCAGGGAGAGCCACCGCTCCGTCCCCATCGGGGTGCCTGTTCTTCTACTCTTGAGTAGCAAGTTACAGGTTGAAAATAGGGCTTTTGCCAAGTCGCTCTTGTGTCCCTCTGCCTCCGTCAAGGAGAGCTAGAATTCTACCTTGCAGGAGCCCATTCCATCTGCGTGCTGGCCTAGTTCAGCATTCGTGGGAAGGGCGGTGGGTACCAGGCCCCGTGCCAGCCACAGAAGGACTCCTTCGCCCTGGCCATACAGGCCTTGAAGGGGAGGTAGTACCCAGACGTAGCCTCACCTTGCGAGGGGCTAACAGAGTGGGCACACGCCAAGAACAGACAGGCAGAGTCCCCTACACAGGCAGGATGCTAACAGGGCCTGGGGCTTTGATGTCTGCCTTTGTAGCAGGGCCCGGACACCTGAGAGGCTTCCACTGCAGCTGGTGGGACAGCCCCCCACGGGGCTCTCTCTTCCCCCAAACTGGCCGAAGTGTCCTCCCATGCCTCTCCAGGCTCCGTCCCTGGCTCCCGGGTGGAAATGAGGTGACCAGAGCCATCCTGTCTGGCAAGTCTGCCCTGCTGCTGGTGAAGTGAGAGGCCAGGCCTTACCAGGGCTCTCCCTGCCACCACCCCACACCCCTTCTGGTAGGGGTCTATAAAACAACTTTATAGACCAGTTGACTCTGGCCAGACTGGTTGTTTCAGGTTTTGGCGTGACTTGGAGCTCTAAGAAATGAGATCAGGCTGCTGCTTGGGCTTTTCCTTCTTTTTTTGCATCACTCTCCCAAATCTAGACCCCTTATCCGTGGGACCCAGGACCCCGCCCCCTCGCCCTGGAACCCCAGTAAGCACCATGTGCCAGGTATTGTTCCGAGTGCTTTACATGTGGGAGGCCACATGGCATGTAATTGAGTACAGATTCTGGAGCCAGACTGCCTGGAGTGAAATGTTCTCCCCCACTTCCTTAGACACGTGACCGTGGGACAAGCCAGTAACTGCTCTGTGTCTCAGTTTCCTTCATTATAGAATGGTGGTCATGGGACTTACCTCGTAGGGTTGATGTGAGGCATTGATAAGAGAAACACCCAGGACCCCCATATGATAGTTGCCGCCCCTCCTTCTGTTGCAGGGCACTAAGAGGTAGCGTGGCTTGCCGGAGGTCACACAGCCAGTGAGTGGCAGGTCTGGGACTCATATCCCGGGCTGACCTCGGCCCCCCTGCTCCTGAGCACTGTGGGAGCTCTGGAGGAGATTAAGTCAGAGCTAGAGACACTGTTCCCATTACCCCCCACCCCCTTCTTTTCAGGCCAGCAGGGGGAGATGGAGATGGCTGTGGGCCAGTCTCCAGGGGCAAGAAACACCCTTGGCCAGTCACTCTGACGGTCCACCTTAAAGGCCCCTGGCTCCACTTGCCACCTCGCCGACCTCCAGCTTCACACTCAGCATGACGACAGGAGCAGGCTCTGAAAGCGGGGGCACCAGTGGGGTTACTGCTCGTCCTCACCTGCCCTCACCCCCTCTCTCCTTTTTCCCAGAAGGCTGCAGGTCCCTGGGCCAGCTGGAATTTACTCTCCCGGAAGCCGGCCACCCTGCCTCACCTGCCCACCCCCTCCTGGGATGCCCTGTGCCCAGCGTGCCACCTGCAGCAGAGCCCGTCCCCCATCTTCAGACACCCACCTCGGAGCCCCAGACAGTAGCCCGCGCGTGCCCTCAGAGCGCCAAGCCTCCCAGCGGCTCCAAGTCAGGTCTGCGCACAGGCTCCAGCTGTAGGCACACGGCAAGAAGCAAGGCCGCCTGCAGGCCCAGCCACCCCAAGCAGCCACGTGTCCAGCGCCCGCGCCCACGCCGCCGCCGCCGCCGCCGCACTAATGGCTGGGTGCCCGTCGGGGCTGCTTGTGAGAAGGCTGTCTATGTCTTGGTGAGTGCCAGCTGTCAGCGCCGGGGGAAGGGGAAGGTGGCCGTGGAGACATAGGACCTGCTGTGAGGGGATCCCGGGAACCCTTGGCTCTGGCTTCTCTGGGGGGTGATCACACTGGCCCAGCCTGCTCCCCTAGCCCCGGCTGGTCCGGTATGGCGGGCCTTGAGGAGGTGAGGGGGTGCACAGTCAGTCGCGGCTGGTGGCCGCCATCTCTTGTCGCTGACTCTCAGGGAAGCCATTTCAAGTGTCCTTCACCTCTCATCCTTGATCATGCTGTCTCTTCTGTCCTGGCTTATAAAATGGAGGACTCTCCCGGAGGCTTTTTGGATAAGAGTGTGTGTAGGGAAAATTGGGCTAGGCAGAGAAAACGAGTGATCCAGGAACATCCGGGTTGAGGAAAAGAGTATCGACTAACCTTTATCGAGCTAAGGTGTTTTCATCCTCACCGCTACCCTGTGAGGTGCGTATCCCACGTTCCCGTCCTCATTTCGCAGATGGGGAGACAGGTGTGACGGTAGATTAAGTAATTTGCCCAGGGCCGTGCCACTTCACAGTGGTGGTTTAAAGGTCAAAACCAAATTGCCCCAATAGGAAGTTTGAGGACCTTCTCGATGTTGGGGCTTGGAGCAGGAGACCTGGCTGTTGGGTTGTGTTGGTCACAGCGCAGCCCCAGAAGCTTTAGGCCACTTTCCCACCCCTGTTCCTATTTTTTATCCTTTCTCCAGCCATGGGGAGCTCCCACCCCTATCCCGGCCCTGAAAGCCAGGCTTAGGGAGAAGAGACCACTATGCAAACTGCTTTTGTAGTATTCCACCCTCAGTGGTTTGACTGCCCGGAGGGAGGAAAGCACGCAGAGAATGTCTTCCGCTCACTCCCTCCTTCCTCCCCTCCTCATGAGCCCCTTTGTGTCGTTGGTTTGTTGCTTAGGATGAGCCAGAACCAGCCATCCGAAAGAGCTACCAGGCGGTGGAGCGGCATGGAGAGACGATCCGAGTCCGGGACACTGTCCTTCTCAAGTCAGGCCCACGAAAGACGTCCACACCTTATGTGGCCAAGATCTCTGCCCTTTGGGAGAACCCTGAATCAGGTACCCCCGGCCTGCAGTCTGACCTGGCACTGGTCTCCTCACGTTCTTGGCATGGAGGCTGCCTTCCCCTCAGCCGGCATCTGTCTGCTGCTGAGGGCTGCAAGATGGCCTTGTGGTTTGGGTCGGATCAGCTCTTTAACCTTTCTGGCCACCAGGACCTGGGTACCTGTCCCCCTGCCTCACCTGTCAGTACCTTTTCTCCCTTCTTCCTCCATGCCTGACAGCATTCCAGGTCCCTGAATTGCCAGGCTTGGCCTGAGGCAGGGGATACGGGAGGCTGAGCCTGTAGGATTGGCCCAGGCATCGAAGCTGGATGATCGTCCTGGGCAGGTAGCCAACCTGCTTGCCTGTCTGAGTTACTCTGGGGTTGCCAGTTCAAGCCATGACTGCTTCTCCTGTCCCCCTAGGAGAACTGATGATGAGCCTCTTGTGGTATTACAGACCAGAGCACTTACAGGGGGGCCGCAGTCCCAGCATGCACGAGGTGAGTTGCCTGGCAAGTGTATCGGGGAGGGCATGGGTGGGAGGGAGAAGTTGTGGCACCAAGAACATGGTATGGGGAGGCAGCCACGGGCAGTCAAGTCATTGTCACCTTGGACACCACAGACGGGCCTGGGTTTTAGCCTGTTTTTGCAGCACTGCCCCAGTTCACATTTCGAAGGGAAGAGTAACCTTTTCCTTGAAAGGGGGAGCAGGAAGGAAGACCCCCAAGGGCATGCCAGAATGGGAGCAAGTGGCTATGTCCTCATGGCCCCAGGAAAGGGGAGGTGGGGCCGCGCACCCCTAACCCCCTTTGCCGCTGTGTGTGGCCCGAGAGGGAGGAGAGAAGAGGCTCGGGACAGCCCCGGGCACGCTACCGAGCAGTGTGCTAGGAGAGGTAGTGCCGTCGGGTGTGGTCCCTCGGCCCCTGGCCTGGGCTCCCCGGCACTTCATTGCCCTTGCTGGACCTTTCATCTCATGGGGAGATGGGCACCACTTCCCCTCTCCTCCCCTGGGCTGGGTGTGGGGGTCAGGAGGCTGATGACATGGCGCGGGGGGTGTTGCTGGATAGGCCCCTCGCTATTCCTGAGTAGGATGGGACCTGGGAGGAGTGCCCCGGGGTGGGGGATGCTCCCTGGCTTTCTGGGCACTGGCTGGAGTTATCTCAGGTCAGGAGTCCCAACAGAAGAGTTAATGTCGGCCTTGCTTCTGGAGTTATGTGCTTCCAACCCTGGTACCAACGTCCCCCTCTCTCTCCTTGAGCCTCTGCAGAATGAAGTCTTTGCGTCGCGACATCAGGACCAGAATAGTGTGGCCTGTATTGAGGAGAAATGCTATGTGCTGACCTTTGCGGAGTACTGCAGGTGGGTACTGGCTGGCCTGCCCCTCTGGCTAGCCTCTCCCCTCAGACTCCCCAGGGCTGTTTAGGGGCTGCCCGAGATTCCCAAAAGGATTTCCTTCACAGGGCCTGACCTCCCAGAATGTTCTACCTCACAGCCTTCTTCTACCGTCTGATGTTTGTAGAAGAAAGAAAAATTGTTCCTCTGAGGCAGAGTGGTTGGGGCAGCGTTTGGGGGTGGTTACAGTACTGCTCTCAGAGAACCATCGAGGAGAATTGGCAGGTGTTGGGAGGGAGGTCCCAGCAGATGTGCTCCCCCAGTGACCGAGAAGATGGACTGGCAATCGGCAGAGAGGCCAGAGCCCCCAGGCCAGGGATGGAGGCAGCACCAGCCCTTGTGGGGGTGGGAGGGGAGGCCCCAGCTCTCTGGGCAGGGTGGGGAAGGAGCTGATCTTCCTTCGGAGGCGGCTGCGGTAAAGACAGCAAATGGTGTGTGTCACTGCAGATTCTGTGCCATGGCCAAGCGCCGAGGCGAGGGCCTCCCCAGCCGAAAGACAGCACTGGTGCCCCCCTCTGCAGACTACTCTACCCCGCCACACCGCACAGTGCCCGAGGACACGGACCCTGAGCTGGTGTTTCTTTGCCGCCATGTCTATGACTTCCGCCATGGCCGCATCCTCAAGAACCCTCAGTAGCCTCCTCAGGCCTACACTGGGCCTGCCCATGGGCAAGTGGGGCCCGAGGCAGGGGGCACTGCTTGAAGCACAGCACTTGGTTAAGGGGCCACAGGGGCTCGAGGCTGCTGGCCTGTGGTTCTCTTGGGGGGGAGGGCAGGGACCCCTATGGGTACTGGGCCCTTTGGGAGGGAAGGGGAGGCCAGGGTATAAGGAAAGCATCACAGCCCTCAGCTTGGCCCAGAGTACCTCTCTGTGGTTGCCTGGGTGGAGACTTGAAGAAGCAGTCTTCCCTGAGGCTGGGCCAAGCCTGAGGGGCATGGGACCCTGGGGGGAGGGGAGAGTCCTTCAGGAATAAGGCCCAACTGGCTCTTCTTTAGCCCCCCCTGGGCCCTTCAAGGGGGGGAGGCGAGCGGGAGCCGGCTTTACCTCACCCACTGTGACCCACTGCTTCCCCATCAGCCTGGGACCAGGCTCTCTCAGATTCTAGCACAGCTCCGAGCTCCTTCCTTTGAGGCATAGAGAGCCAGAGTCTGGCTTCCAGAGCGTAGACTTTCTCTTTCTAGACTCGGGGCCTTTCCCTGGCTTCCTCCTTTGCCCCTGCAGTAGCCCCTGCGCTGGGACAAGTTACCCAGTGCGAACAGTCATGGGTGTGGCCCACTTGTGGGCGTCAGCTTCCTGTCTGCCTCCTGGTGAGGGCCATCCAGCAGGTCTGGCTTCCCAGAAGCTAACTGGTCAACATGGGGTTTGTCATGTCTGGGAGGGTGGAAGGGAGCTGGGAGGGGGTGGGGGGCAGGGGGCAAGGAAAATTGCTACCTGATTTATTGAAGACTTTTCCTCTTGCCTTACACTTGGAGGTTGTAGGAAACCTCTTGCAGAACTTCATACCTGACTCTTCAAGCCACACCCACCTGAAATCAAACCAAAGGAGTGCTGTGGCTCCCCTTGCCCCGCCACCCCTTACCCTGGTCTTTTGTAGATTGCACTAATTTACATCCCTGCGAGAATCAACACTGTATCAGTCCACAGACCTGCTGAGCTGCAGCCACTTACTCTAGGAGCTAAGAACTTGCATTTTCAGTTTGTTCCTGTTGCCCAGGGGCCCTGTTTTCACCTCATGCTGCTCCTCAGAGTAGGTTAGGAGGCTGGGCCCCCTGTTGTCCTTGCCAGTCGGACTAGGCCCCTCCCCCCCCCCCTCGGGGCTCTCTGTGAGGGGGGCTGGAGCAGCCTGGTTCTATCCTATTTGTACCAAAGAGGAGCATTGGTGGGGAGGGGGAGAGGAGCACTGTGTGGTCTGGGCCCTGCTGTTGGCACTTACTCGGGGCACAACCCTGGGGGCAGGAGCCAAGGAGGGCAGTGCTCCTCCTCCTCCTCCCCTAGGAAGGGGCAGGCACAGACCCAGCTCAAGCTAAGGAGGTGACACTGGGTGAGGACAGTCAGGCTGGGTCTGGAGAGGGAGGTCAAAGCGAACCCCGAGGGCCCTCCCAGCAACCCCAGGCCTTGTGCTCTCCCTGAGAAGACAGGCTGCTCCCGATTGGTCACTGGGCTTGGGGGAGGCCTGGAGGCTTCAGAGGTGAATTTACACATGGAAAGCCCAATCCCAAACCCTAGGGGAAGGGACTAGGGTGCCCTTGTATTGAATAAGCTGTTTGGAGGAAGGAGTGGGGCAGTAAAAGAGGTTGGCAGAGAGTGGCTGCAGGGGCTCTGGAGAGCCAGCCTGGGAGCTTGCTCATTCCCAGGGTGCTGGGCCCTTGCGGCCAAGGAGCCCAGCCTCACTCAGCAGGAGAGGAGATCAAGGCCCCTCCTCCCCCCGGAGGCAGGGTCTGCTGCCCAGAACGTAAATGCTTTTGAAATCTCTTAGATGTGGAAATATTTTTTCGAACCTGAAAATGCAGCTGGTAGAATTTCAATGGAAGCATAATTCATGTAAAATATATTTTAGTTGATATTTTGTAAAATGCACTTTTTGTGTGTGTCGACCCTGGTTTCTCAGATCTGTATTTCAGTGTTTACAAGGGAGGGAGGACCTTTCCTCACCTCCCTTTTGACAGAGATTAGAAGTACTTCTTTAAGAAAAAAATAAATTTGAAAAATTGTATTGATTTAGAAAAGGATTGTTCCCTGTGTGTCCTGTCATCTTTGTGGGGGATTTGGGGGAGTGTATGTGCAGAGGGGCTCACCACTCTTTATTTTGGGGGTCCCTCTTAGCTCTTGCATTGTAGGGGCTAAGGCCAATAAATAGGGCAGGAAAGTAGGGGGAGAGCAGATGGAGGAAGGGAGACGAGGGGAATGAGAGCTTCTCGGCCTCATGGTGGCCAGAGCTACCTGCCTGGACAATGTGAAATCCTTGGGTGGCCAGCCTTCCCCTGGCCAGTGACCTGGGAACTGGTACCCATGTCGGTGCAGAGAGTAGATAGCACCTCATCACCTTGGGTCATGTCCTTGGGGAACCGGCCAGCAGAAGCTGCCCTAGGGCTTCAGGGTCTAGTCTGGCCCTCCTTGCTGAGGGAATGAAGGTCACATCACAGGCCCAGGGTTTGTGACTGCCTGGACCTTGGTTCAGCCCAGTCTCAGAGTTGACCGTACTCCGTGTGGAGCAAGCTTTGTGGTCATGGGGATTCCTAGGGGGCAAAGCATAGCTGCCCCCCTCTTCGTTCTGGTACGGACGTTGGGGCAGGTGCATTTCGATAGAGGGTGCTCATGGCACAGACCGGACCACTGCCACCAGTGCGCTGCCCACAAGAGTCCCATGAAGTGGATAGTGGCCTATCATTCTACTGATAGAAATGGTGTGGAGACAAGTGCCTTGCCCGGGGACTCCCCCAAACTAAGTGGCTATTCCTGTACTCCGACTACTTTGCTGTGACTGCTAACACAAGTCTCTTTGGAGGAATGAGCACATGTTGGCCAAATTGTCCAAACGTTTCAAAGGTTTTGTTTTTTTCCCCCTCTTCTAGTATAAAGAACATTTATTGTTTAAAAAAAAAAAAAACCGATTCCAGTAGAAAATAATCCCAACACCAGAAATCTACATTCAGTGCTACTGGAAGCGAGGAGCAGTTCGGTGAAGGCCGAACCTGAGGCAAACTTATAAATCAGCAGATAGTGCATCCTGAGATGCACCCCAGCAATCAGGCAGTGAGATGTTGGGAGCCCACTGAGAAGCTGGAAAGCCAGCAGGCTTCCCACTCCTTCCCCGCACTCATCCTTTGTGCTCTTCACATTGCTAGGGATCATGGGCCATCCGTGAGCCCTCTAGCTTCATCCCACCCCCCGGGACTCCTCATGCTTCTGAATCATCTGATCAGTGGTACCTCGTTCTCCCACTAAACTCAAAGCCTCTGGCATCTTCTACTCCTGTTCCATTCAGCCCTTCAGTACTATAACCTGGGATTGGCTGCTTCCTCCCAACCATTCCACGTTTGTGGTCCGTTGATCTCTGAAGGATCGCGATTAGGGATGTAGGTTTAAAAATCAGACTGACCCATATAGAGTCTCAGCTTCCCTGAGCCTCGATTTCCTCAGCTGTGCAGTGGGAAGGCCTGTAGTACCTGCCTCCCAGGGCGCCTCTGACAACTGAAAGAGAATACCAAACACTGAGCAGGCACCTGCCTTGGTAAATGTAGACCCTCATCCCATCACTACTCCCCTTCAGAGCTCCACTGGCTCCCCACACATACATACCTAACAGGATGAAGTCTGGACCCCTGGCGAGGTACTCAGTTCACGTGGGGAAAGGCTGGCCCCTGCTATCCTAGGCATTCCCCTATCTGCCTGTAGCCCACATGGTCCGCCTGGTGCCATTGAGTGCATGCTTGGCTCCAGGCAGGGAAGCTGCTGCCTTGTGCGCCCCAGCTCCTCACCCTTCAAGATTTGTGCTGATCACACTAGTGATCACCAGGCACCGACTTGTCATTGGCCCCTCACCAGAGTGTCCCAGTTATCCCACCTCTTCAGGCCTGGGGGAGGAAAGACAGGAGGGGAGAAGACTCCATTTCCAGACATTTCATCATTACCCAGTGGATGAACACGGTAATCCACCAGGTACTGTTAAATCTAACGGTCACCATGGAGATGAGCCACTGGTCAGTGCTTGGCAGTCTTGCTCCTCTTTACTGGAGTGGCGAGGGCAGGGTGGGTGGGGGGAGCACACCGGGGACCCTGCTTCCAGCGAGAAAGAAGGATTTCCCGCAAGCTTGGACTCAGCGCACAGCGCTGCGGGTGCCCTCTGCCTCCAGACGCGCCGTTGGAGGAAGGTCTCAGCCAGGCCAGAGTGTGCGGCAGGGCGTTGGGTGCAGGTCCTCTCCGTCCAGCTCCCCGAGGGCACGCGCTGCGCGAGAGGGAGCCGTAGCCTGGGTCTCTTTTGCCTTTCGGGCCTCGGCAGCTTTTGTCTCCGAAGCCCGGAGCACCAAGGCGGCCCTGGCTCCGGCGCCCTCTCCCGGGTGGGGGTCTGCACGCGCCCTCCGAACCCGCTCGGTGCAGGGGCGCCCGCCCCTCTCCCCGCCCCCGGCCTGGGCCCGCCCCCGCGCCTGTGTCACGGCGGGGCCGGGGGCGGGGAGCTGCCGGGCGGGACATCCGGCCACGGTCCCTCGCCTCGCCGCGCCCGCCCGCCGCCCGCTCCGGCGCCGCAGTCCGGGAGCCTGCCACCCCCGCGCGCGCCGGGGCCTCCCGCCCGCGCACTGCTCCCCGAGCCCTCCCCGCAGCTGCGGGCCCAAGCCCCCGGCTCCCGCCCCCAGCCCGGGCCCGCCTCCCGGGCCGCCCTCCGACCGGCCGGGCCGGCGCAGGCCCCCACTCCGGGAGCACCATGTTCCCCCGCCCGCTGACCCCCCTGGCGGCCCCAAATGGCGCCGAGCCCCTGGGCCGGGCGCTGAGGCGGGCCCCGCTGGGCAGGGCCCGGGCCGGGATGGGGGGGCCGCCTCTGCTGCTGCCGTCCATGCTGATGTTCGCGGTGATCGTGGCCTCCAGCGGGCTACTGCTCATGATCGAGCGGGGCATCCTGGCCGAGATGAAGCCCCTTCCTC